TTATCGACATGCGTTGATATGAAAGAATACATGTTGTGTCTTTTCACAGCTAATTTATGTGTTTTTCAAATTCTGACTCGAAGCAGGCGCCCACTTAAACTAACTTGGCGTTTATTGTGTTCTTTGCAATTTGTTTTTTCTAAATAGTATGGAGCTTATATTCTTTTGTTGTTGTTGGCTCTTTTGGTCTGTGCACTATTGAGTGGAGTGATTGTGTTGGTTTGTGTGCTATGTCTGTTTCAGATAGTTTTAATATTCTAGTCATCCTTTCAGAGATATTCTTTATAAGTAGTAGAATGAATTTTCTTCTTACCTTTGCTGACGGTTTCTTGATGGTATTTCGAATTGAGCTTAAGCGCTTTCTTTTCATTGAAGTCACTTAAGTATTCATTCTTCTTTAAAATAGTTGGTAGGTATTTCTCTTCGTCGATACGGTTTCGCCGTATCAGATACTTTGACTTCTGTTGTATCATTAGAAGTTTAAGGTTATGTACGGATGAGAATAAGGCAAGCATCTAAAAGGATTATATAACTTCAGTCAATGAGTTAATAATAGTTTTGTTTCTAACCGAAATACCCATGTTGTAACCCAACAAACCTCATGTACACACACACATGCACAAATAATTGCATATAAATGCGATTGTACACCTCTGTGAATATCTTCATTATAATAAAGGTTTTTATATTTCCCAATGAATGAAAAACAAAACGATATTGTTTTCACTGACGTTTGGCTATTGAATACTAATAGCTTTATCAAAGTATTATAATTAAAGCGGAATTTACAAAACTTTAGCACATATATAACAAAGAGTTAAGGGGTGAGAAAATAGACTTAGGTCAAGTTAAGGGGACATATTGAAAGTCAAGATAGCAATGAAGATCACTTAACCAAAAAACAAAGGTAATAGTATGTCTGTTACGATATCGAAACAAAGTTTACTAACTTGATCATCGTTCGTCAGTCTGATGTCGTTTTTCGTCGTCAAGCTGGTCAACTGATAGAGATAAAAAAACCAAGTGTAGATTGTTGGATTTGATCAGTGTGTAAAATTATAAAAGTAGTGTGTGTTTACATAGTGAAATTTCATATCACATTCGTGTTGACTTTGTCACTTCATGGGGGAGGGAGGTGTTGTAACCAGGTCAGATTTTGTTTTAGTCCATCATTCCTACTCAATTCAGGCAATTTGGATTTCACTTGATATGAAGTGCTGGTGATATTAGGCGTTCTCTGTGATTACTGAAGTTTTTCTGGATCATTTGAATATTTTCAGGATCAATTTTGTGGCCTGATTCTAAAGCGTGTAGACAGATCTATGGCTGAGGATTTTTCAAGCTTTTCTAGTTCGACTGGATTTCTCGGTGGTCGAAGAGATGCTCTACGATGTCCGTTTCTTCTGATTTTGACTTCTCGCGATGTTTGTCCGATGTGGGTCGCATCACATTCCAAACATTTTATTTTATGGGCACAATTAGATAGATAATCTTTAGGGATTCGGTCTTTTATATGGACAAGGTTGCTTGTAGTGGGTGTGTCTGATGTTTTGAAAAAAACTCTAATATCGAGCTGATTGAGTACTCTTCTGATGTCATCTGACGTCTCTGCTCTATGTGTGAATGTCTTCTCCGAAAAAAGAGTCTCTTCGCTAAATATCTTATCTTTTTCATATGAACGCAGGAAACTGATCTCTGCATTCTACTGCCTGGCTGCCTTGAACTTCCTTGTGATACGTACAGTCAGAAGAAGAAATGGGCAATTGATTATTCGCTGCTAAAATCTGTGCTTCTACTTAACGATCACAACACATAAAAAACAACTCAGAATTACCTCAATATTTCCTCGTTAGGTAGCTAGTTATACAGACAAAGTGTTATATTCTGAGTACAAAACAAGTACTTAGAATCAAGTAGAATATTCCCTAATAAGATCGGATCAAAAACTCTGTCCACAGAAGAATCACACACTGACAATTCCTCGAAGGCAGTTCAAAGTCAGAATGACGTTGACCCACTCAAAACAAAATCACATTTTAAAACGACACATATTTAGTGTGTCTCACAACCACGAAGAGAAGCATTAAACGTCGGGGATTTTTTTATTCGTTCACGTTCCCAGTGGAACGTAGGGACTCAAGCTAGTACCTTGAAGTTTCTGTAGCAGTGTTTATTTTCACAGGATGAGGTTGCTAGCCTCATGCCAACCTTCCGTCTCTACCAGCTTTATTTCTGGCGAAGTGAGGTAAAGGAATGCGTTTGTGGCCGGGGATCGAACCCTAGACCATGTGCATGGTCGGCTAGCGTCCTAACCACTGTGCCACCGACGCACAAACTTCGAGATTAAACGCAAACAAAGACAAATAATAAGGATCAAATCAAAATATGATATCCAAATGTCAAAATAATGATATACACTCTAAGAGAGAAATAGGAGGACAGCAATTACAAAGTTAGTTGAAACATCCGAATAAATACAAATATTGTAATTAGATTGTTCAGGAAGGGGGTGTTGGTGGGTGGTTGGTATTTTCCAAACAATTTTTCCTTTACAACAACTATGAAGTTAATATGGTGAACTATCAAATACCACAGTATCCTCTTTAAGTAAACAATTCCAAACTAACTAACAATTTGTTTATTTGCGTATACTTTTTTGACAAGTCATAATTGTTTTTAATTTCCTTTTAGGCAAGTAATTATTCATATTTGATTTACAGAATTATTTAACTCATTCGTCAAAATATCGCCTTGTTTACTTACTCTCGTACGTACAATTTTGCAGATTTCAAGCCCCATAAATTACAGGGGGGGTAATTCTCCTGGTAAAAACAATCAAATAAATTGATGACTGATTATGCGGAATAATTATTTGCATGATTTATTCTCGTTTTTGTGTTGTTTTACTACTGAAATAAAAGAAAAGACAGAAAGCCTATTTCGAAGATGCATTTTCCTTCTTTTTTCTTTTCTTTTCCCTTTTTCTCTGTCTCTCTTTGTAATCAAGAATTGAAATGAAGTGCTTAACGAAAAAGGGAGAAAAAAATGATGTCACTCCACTAATTTCATTTTGATCAACACTTTGAGTGGAATTCCCCTGAAGAGTTCTGATATGCGGCTTTGTAGTTGTGATAGCTGTCAGTTCAGTAGTGTTATTAACCAGTAGTAATGACATGGATTAATAAATAGTCAGGAATTTGGTTGAAATGTGTATTCTGTTTTATTTTCTAAATTTTTCAGTGAAATTTCGGTTCCTAAAAAAAATTTATACCTAGCTTCAAGTAGATAACTTCTTTCCCCACTGAATAATTATCTAAGGAAATTTTAATAAAAGGAAAGTTGATTGCAGTATTCAAAATATAAATGGAACTAGCAATGTTTCTCAATGGTAAAGTCGTAATTTGTTCAAGCTTTGATAACGGATTGATGTCGGTAAGAGAATCATTGAAAACCTTCGGGGAATAGTGGACATCTATCTCGTCCTAGTTTGGGACTCATTAGATGTACACACTACACTAGGGTTTAAACCATGCACTTTCTAATTACAAAGCAAGCTCGTAGACCATACAGTCATTGGGAGTCTACCCAATCATCAGATAATGAACTCTAACTTCCAGTAACTGATGATTTTAGTGTGACTACTAACCAATGTCTAATGCCAATCTGATACTCGCTAGTGACCGGATACAGGATCAAGTTTCCTGCAGTTCTAGTGAGGTGTCGTGAGCAGTGGGGTACCATGTTTGAGATTTAGTACAAATACTTACCGATAGCACTGACTGATGGTCACGATAAAATTCACGAGCTGATAGAAGTTAGAAGCAATCAGGTAGCCACTGAGTCATGTCTCCTTGGATGAATTGTCTACGATCGTCAAATTAATTCTGATGGATGGTGATTAGTAGTGGAATACACGATGCTCATTTCGTCCTGTTTAGGACTTGTGGCCCAAGAGGTCTAGTGGATAACGCTTTAGTGTTTAAAACAATAGGTACTGGACTCGAGTCTCAGTGGGGAACTCAGGTACATCCAGCTAACCGACAAGTTGAAAATAGGACGAAATGTGCATCCTGAATTCCACTGGTAGTCACCAATCACTAAAGTTATTGTCATATGGATAGAGTATAAAACTTTGAAAATTGCAGCTGTACGTCACTTCTATTATTACTCTCAATGTAATCATTGACACCGATAAAATTTATTTTGACCGTAGATGTCTCTTAATACTTTCAGAAAATTAACTTTTTGCGCCCCCTTAAAGCGAAATAAATTAATCTATTGTTGACATCTATTATTTTATTGCATGGAAGATTTCATCATGAGATGACATCACTTACAGAACCACAGGAAAACCTGCGATTACTGAACAGCTATTTCGTCCTGGTTTGGGGCTCTTCTTCAGTACTCACTCACTGGGATTCGAACCCAGGACCTTCTGGTTACAAGGCCATCTCGCAGAAAGTCCTGGGTTTTTCCCCTTATGGTGAGTACGTGCTGATGAAAAATCCCAGAGAAGGAGACGAAACAGCTGTCCAGTACTCCCACCGTTTTCCAGTGGTTCTCTAACTGATGTCAGCTCATGATGAAATCCTCCATGTAATCAAACAAAAAATCCCACCAAAACCATTACCTGAAAATCTATTATTTTCTAAAATACGAAAATCTTATACATTGTAACCACATACAACGATGTTAGCCATCTTCAGAGACATTCTGTTACACCTGATTTATTAGTTCTTGAAATGCCAATATAATATACTGTAGTGGACGGATTTTTAACCGATACATTCTAGTTTGTTAAGAATGAAGCAGAAAAGCCACCTGATCTGAATAATGAATAAGATTTCGAATAAACTGAGTAGTTATAGGCTTTAAGTTGTCAGATGTTGGTTACTTTGCTATTATTTTTGTAGATCAGTGATTATAATTCTGGCTTTAACTTCTTAAGGTCATTTACAAATTTATACATAACTTTTCTTTTCTTTTTTTTCACTTCCTAGGTTACAGTGTTCTCGTCAGCATTTATGTTACTCGGCCTGACTACAAGTCGTTTCTTAGCCGTTGTATTACCTTGGCAAAATTTGAAGACTACGGAAATTCAAGCGAAATTGGTTTGTGTTGGGGCATGGTTAGGTAAGAATTTGCCTTTTTTTATTCTTTATTACATATGCTTGGTCATCTTGAAGTCACTCTAAAGTTTTATGGGTTTTGAGTAATATTCGTGTGATTACCATGCCTGATCAAGAGTATTGTTGCCTTAGTACTCGTTGGTTGGAGGCAATCAGCAGGAAGCCTGCGATCTAGGTTTCATCCTAGTTGGCATTCATCAGTCAGAAAGCTGCATTTGCAACCATAAAGGAACCCATATCCCTTGTGAGATTCGAACTCAATTCACCACCACCCAGTGGTGCACACAGAGACGTTGCCATAGTGCTACTCGGGCTAGTGATTGACCTACTGTAGTTGATATTTTGATTAGACACTAGTAACTAGTGTGATGTGTCTAGTCCTTTCCTTAGTGCAGACTGAATTCTATCAGTCAAGTTTGCAATGTGGATACGATGCTAATAGATGCCTCGACATCATGGTGCACTGTAGATTCTTGCCAACGAATGCCAGCACTCATGAAACATAGATCCAAGGCTTCCTACTGATTGCCTTTAACCACCTTATATTAACAATTCACAGTGCACCATGATAGCGAGCCACCCAGAAGCACAATGCAAACTTGATTGATAGAATTCAATCCGCACCAAAGATAAGAACTATTACCCTTACACTAGTTACCGACTAGTGTTCATAATTAATATTATTGTTTCTTTGGGTTCCTAGTGGAACATAAAGCTTCAACTGCACATTTCCACTCGCTTCTCTCTTCTGCTGTACTTTTCACCTGCATCCATGTTAGTCCATACTGTTTCAGCTCCTCTTCACACGATCTCCTCCATGTCACCCTTGCACCGACGACCCACTCGCCGCTTCCTATTCCGTCGGATTCCACTCCAGCGATGGCCTGACACGCGCGCGATGTCACACACAGGCCTCCTCACTCAGCGAGTGTCCAATCCATCTCCACTTTCTTGGTTCTTTTTTTGTTTGTTCCCATAGTTAGTTTCTTGTTGGTGATTCTTTCCGGCCCGGCCATCTGATCTGATCTCAGTGTAGATCCAGCGAAGACAGTTGTTGGTTGATAAATATCTGAAACAGACTGTTGGTGGAAATATTCTTTGTGACTCATCCACCAAGTTTACGATCCGTTTAGAACAGCTGACTGACTTGACGCTGTTTGTATTGAAAATCCGACCGAATTTTGTTGTTGATGCTGAGTTGAGTGACGAAGATTGGTTTCCAGATTGGTTTCAGGTTGATGAGTGAATGTGTTTCTCGCCTTCCCGATTCTCACTCGATTTGACATCTTCGTCCGTTCCGACTGTCTGTAGTTGAAACAATGTTCCCTAAATGATAAGTGAGTTAAGTAACCTCTTTCGAATACATCCCATTGATGGTGATTGGCGCTGGATGTTGCTGTTGTTGTTGGTTGGTTGGTTACTTTCATAACCTCCGTTTTGTCTATGTTAACCTGGAGTCCTGTCTTTGCTGCTTCTTCGACCAGTTTGTCAGTTTTCGCTTGTAAGTCTTCGATTTTGTGTGACATCAAACATAAATCATCCACGCGTGAAATCCAGGTCTTCTAGGTTCTTCACTTTGGTCCAGAATATCCCTGTCCCGTTTCTCGTTTCCCTCTGTCTGACGCATAATCCAGTCCACCACAATTAGGAATATCATTGGTGATTATAGGCAGGCAGTCTCGTCTGACTCCTGTGTTTACTCCAAACGCCTTGCTGAGTTTTCAGATGTGGATCACTTGACATATACCGTTGTCGTACAGTTGTTAAATAAGTTTGATGAATATTCGGGGTACGCCGTAGTACTCCAATAGTTTCCAAATTACTTTGAGGTCAACTCTGTTGAAGACCTCAAAGTGTATAAAGTTGAGGTAGAGGTCTAATTCCCATTCAATGCTTTGTTTTGTGATGTGATGATGATGCGAAGAACTGCAATTCGGTCAGAACATCATTTGCGTTTCCTGAATCTAGCTTGTTCTGGTCGGAATTCTGTATCCGACTGACTGGTGTCCAATCGAAAGAATTATACATATATATATATATATATATTGTTGCGTTTAAATAAGAATAATGCTTGAGTAATTACGACCCCACCTTGGAATTAATTTTGTTATAACTGGTCATTTATCTATTCAATGAGTGATTTAGGTTTTCTGATGAATATTACAGTCTTAAGATATTGACTTGAGGTGAAATTAAAACTATGGATAAACCAGTCATGCAAAGGCGATATATATATATATATATATAAATTTTACCTGTCCTACATTATTTCAATTATATCCATGCTTCTTGATAATAATTACAATGAACTTTAGACATGTGAAGACTAATTTCAATTTCATTGAATGAAAAATGAATATAACTGACCTTATTTCAAAAATAACTGGCCATGATTATTTAAACTTTTAAAACTGGGTTATATTCAACAATTACTTATCTTTTCAGAAGATGAAATATCATTTTAGCATAATTAATTTATTTTTCATCACGTCATCGAAATAAAGATACATATAAATATTAATTATTATTTATTGTTCTTTTGGGTCCCGAATAGAAAATAAGGCTTCCACAGCACATCTTCACTTTGTAGCCACGATTGCCCATAGTCTGTAATCTCTTACTCAAACGACGAACATTTCACCGTCATGGATGCCTCACTCGTTGTTTGCCATTCAGGATCCACTTAAGTGATGTGATCTGACATGCGGTCTCGTTCAACGTTATTCTCACTGAGTGCTCAGTATGTTGAGTTGTTCTTATAGTTTTTGTGACTCATTCTTTCTGGCCATTTGATCTGCAATCGTTTCATAGTGAAGATCAAATTACCAAGGTTTAGGGTGAATATATTTGTGAGGATATAAGGAATGAAACCCTATCAACATTTTTTTCGAGCTTCATAAACACAGATCAACTCTAATGGACTCTCAGTACTGCATCAGTTTTCATTAATCAGACGTCAAACACTTTCCATGATATTAGATCTTTTTGTAACGGAATAATTATTTGGTAAATCCCTCCTCACCGAACACAATACAAAACTGATAGTTATTTGGATGTTTCAGTTAACTCTGTAATTATTACCATCTTGGGAATATGAATAAAGCAAGAACAACAATTTTTGCTGAATAAAATGATACCACCATTTATTTCCTTGGCTCCCCATCAGCTGCTTACAAGCCAATGTCCATTTTTAAACAAAAATCAATCAATATACGCATCCAGTAATAATATATATAAAATTAAATATTATTCTGAACAATAATGATCATACACACTGAAAAATTCTGGGCATTATGCAATCAGATGAAAGAGAGGTGAAAATATCCACTTACCAGGGCAAAGAAACTGATAACTGTTTCTTTCTGGATGCTTAAATCTGGTTTCAGGCGGTTAGTGGAGATGGCTTCAACAAAACTTGGGGGAGAATTGAGCTTTTTATCTGTTGATAATTTTGAACGACCTTGAGACAGCCACCTCATGACCCGTGTCAAGGAGATGCCTGGTGATGTCACCGTTTAAAACATTTGTTCCCTTTCGACATATGCTTTTTGGTACATGTTCCAAAAATCGTATATGTATATAAATGTATCGTGCGTCGGTGACACAGCAGTTAGGACTATCCCTGACCATGAACATGATTTCATGGAAATTCACTGCCTTCTTGGTGTCATCAGCGTGCTTTTTTACGGTGAGTAACTCAAGGGAGTTTCTGTCATCTATACAGTGGAACGCAGAGGTCAATTCCAGACAACGTTTACGGGCTCATCTTTTATGAAAAGAATAAAATATCATTTATTTTTAAGTATCATAAACTGAAAACACATGCTGCAACATGAAAAAAAGCTGAATAACCAAAAAGTAGGTTGTCATCAGTGGAAGCACGTGAACGGATATCGGCTAAATGATGCAACCGAAAAAAAAAGTCACTTTGTTCTCTAGATGCCTGAAATACTGAATGAATAAACACATTGTCGGTTCAATAAAACTAATAAACTCCTCTGATTCATATACACACAACCGTTTTTGTGAATAAAAATTCACTTTTTTTCTCATTGTTAGACCTTGCTCTTAGGTAAGCAATGAACGGAAACTGAGCATAACAAACTGACAATCAATATGAGGACTGTCTATAAATTTTCTTTGGACTGAAGCAAAGGTGAATATTCTATGTACCTGCTATTGGGGCAAAATAAAATTTTATCTTCCGCATAAATCTCTTAGCTTAGCTTTTGTGAACAATGAAACTTACAACGCTTCCGATAGGGGTAACAATTGAAAGTTGACATGTGTCATAATAAAATAGAATAACTAACATTAATCTGCTTAACATCAATTCAGTGTGATGAAAATTTACGGGAATACTTACACACCTTTTGTTTTGATATGCTGAAATTAATGGAAAAAATAAGAGTTCCAATACAGGATTTCATCATGAGCATACATGAGAACAACACTCATTTTATACTGTTATTCAACTATCGGAACTCTTCAAGTATTAGTTTGTAGGGATTTGGTTGATTTGTTACAGGATTTCATCATGAGCTGATATTGGTTAGAAAACCACAGGAAAACCACCTGGGAGTACTGAACAGCTGTTTCGTCGGCCTATTTTCGAACTCTTCAGCAGTGCACACCCACCGGGTTCGAACCCAGGACCTTCTGGTTACAAGGCGAGCTCGTATACCAATAAGCCATTGGGGCCCGGCAATCCAATGGGCAGCCCATGAATTCTAACTTCTGCCAAGTCACGATATAGCGCAACCGCCAACCATTGTCTTCGGCGAGTATTTGTCCTCACACCCGACCTGCTGCACTCTACTGGTTATAAACCAATACTTCAATATCAATGAGAAGTTCACTAGCGACTTGCCCTATTCAGGTAGGAAGTTACCTGGGTTCTAGTGAGAAGCCGTGACCAGTAGGTAGGGTACAGCAGGCGGTGCGTGAGGATAAGTACTCGCCGAAGACAATGGCTAGCGGTTGCGCTATATCCTGAATTGGCAT